AATAATTGAAGTTTAGAATATAGAGATATCTAAATTATTTTTAACCAAAGTTACCAAAGAAAATTTATTGAATTAATAGGATACATATGTATTGAATGAGCTTATTTTTGTATGCATAGCATAAACAAATTGTTGGTAGAAATAATGTAAACCAAATACCCAGGCACTCTCATGTATCAGAAACATTTGTTGAATTTAGTGTTATATTTTATGACAGGGAACATAAAAAGCCAACAGAGCATGCTTTAATAGATTTTAGACAACATGCAGGGATCAATGAAATCAATACTGCTCATATTTTATGGGTACAAAATGAGAGAAGTTTCTATCTGAGGTCTTGTGGAAAGATTTTCCTGAACTTCTATTCAGTTGAAAAATAGTGTGTGTTATCAATTTAGTAATGAAGTCTTATAAAACATGCACTAAATACTTTTTCATATTGAACCTTGACTTGGCAATATATTTTAAATTTTGTTTTTTTTTATTGAATTTTTATGTATTTCATACAGAACATCTCACACAATCTTCATCATCTTTATACCCCCATACCTGCTGGCACCCTCCCATAGTGCCCCCACTGGAACCCATATACTCTGTCATCTACGGTAAAGCCCACTGTGTCTAATCAGTGTCCCCAGACTTTCCCCAGTACAAGTCCATTCACTAAAGTCTAGTCAGCCTTGTTTTAGGAAGATCACCTCTTCCTCACCTAGCAGTAATCAGTTGCCAATTTTCTTCAGCTAAGATTGAGGTCTGCAGTTTATTTTCCCTATGCTAGGTTTTTGTCTACCTGAGTTTGCATGGAACTTGTGTATGCTGACACCATTTTGGCAATATTTTTAAGCAGGTGTGTGCAATTCCTACTGTCTTGAACTTACAGAGAAACATGGACATCCATTGCTTTCCTTCTCTCCTCCCACCATCATCACAGAAAGTATGTCTTTGGGATAAGGGGAGGCTGTTCCCTACTAATTCTGCACGACATTTACTGCCACATCACAACTAAAATGGTCAGTGGTATTCTCTCCTGCAATTTTCACTAATGAATATGATATATCTAGAATAATACACCAACATCACAACAAATAAATTACTTTTAACTAAATAACATTTTTCGCTAATAAATATAATGGAAACATTATTGTATACTGAAAACATGTAACCTTAAATATACAGTAAGTGATCTAAACAATTATTTTTTATAAATGATAAAGATCAATAAAGTCATTCACTGTCATCTTTATGTAGTTTAAGTAAGTTAATTATCTATTAGTGAAGCCTCTTTAATTAAACTATTCTTATAACTAATAGTATTAGAATATTACATTGCATAAGTTTGGGGAATATTAATGTCTCATACTTCTTAATAATAATTCCAATCATTGTCATTATTTTAGACACATTTATGATAGTTAACAAAGGCAATATCCAATATAAACAGTTACCAAGGAACCAATGGAAAGATTTACGTTTAACAAAGGGTATAATGGGTGGATTGTTAAGTGTAACCAAATCTATTTAATCTTTCTACCTTTAATATCATATTCCTCATCATATGACGTTATCTGGCTAGAATTTATTTAAATTCAACTTCCTAATGGCACATGAGTGCTACTAAAATTGTGCTGTAAACACCAGGTAAGAGATTTAGAAACTTCACAATAATCAACATATAATGATTTATTTCAAAAAATGATTTCAAATTTTTTTTTTTCTGGAGGTGAGAATGATTTTTGTAACCTGAAAATTTCCTCCTTTTTTGTCCTGTTTTAAAACTGTATTAAATTGTTCTATTAGAGTATATAATGTATAAGTTGATTAATTTCACATTTTTATTTAAAAGAATCATTAATTTCAAGATTTGGTTTGAATTTGAGGGGTTTTATTTTTATTGCTTTCCCTTGGAAAATTTTCAATTTTATATTCTTTTTTAATGTCATCATCTGCTGGTACTTTAGTTTTTAATGTGTATTGGAATTTTAATAGTCATTCATTTAAAACTTTATGTTTGAAACATAACATGTTTCATGCAAAATTAATTATTGAAAATGAGAAGGTAAACAAAATTTCTAGAAAGAACATTCTGTTGCAAAAATAGTAACCAATTCCAGTAAATACCATGCTAGGTCCTTCTATGAGCAAATAGGCAAAATACTTTATTTACTATCATCGTCTATGTTAAAAATGAATATTGTAGTTTCTTTTCAATTAAGTTAACTTCCTTCTAGTCTTGCCAGGTTTTGTAAACACAGCTTTCATTCATTTGTGTTTGTATTTGTTTGATTTGAAGGAAGATCTTATGATGTAGCACAGCTAGAACTTGAAATCAGGATCCTCCTTCCATAGTCTCCTCAGTGGGAGGATTATAGGCATAGACCACCATGCACAGTGCTATTTTTTATTATAACCTCTTCCAGAAATTTTTCAGAAAGAGCAAATTAGCTTTTTTAATGAGCTATAGGTCAGAATCATTAAAATTAAAAGTTCTGGCTTCTTTTGTGACAAAATTCATTTTCAATCTCTTTACATATTGATGAATAAAATTTTAATTTAGATTTCAGTTTAATTCAAGAATACACAAAAATCTAAGTTTAATTTCTGTAGTTTGAGATGTTGTATAAACAGCTAAAGTTATATTTTGACATGACAGCAATTGCAATTGTATATTTTGCTAATTTCACATATCAAGGTAATTTAGACATCAAAATAGATCTCAAAATCATTGGAATGATGATAATCTTATGTCTGATCCTCCTATAATATCCCCTAGTAAAAATATTCAGGGAGCAATCTCTATCTTGAGTAAGAATAAAACCACCACCTGTCTCATTCTCTCTGAATACACATCTCACTTTTTCTAGACAAGAAGGGCTTATCAGGGGGAGATACTGCACTTCAAACCTGTCTTCTACTCCAGGTACTACACTTGTTTTATAAATACACTTTTGTTTATTTATTTATATGCATGCTTATATGCTATATATAATTACATAAGAATTAATTCTATATTATATATTAACACATTTTATGTACATTATTATTTCATTTGTTTCATTTTTATACTTACTATAAGATGAATGTGAGAAAGATCCCTTGCATTCATTTTTTTCCTAGAAGAAAGCTGTGCATACATGTATACAATAAAGGCATAGCAACTGAAAACTGGACCTGATTTTCTGCTAGAAAATAAAATAAGTAAAATCAGTCATGAACAATAATCCAGTATGTGAATTATGACAACTATTTTAAAGATTCCTCCCAGGTAGTTATGCACCAGACTGACATCAGAAGGGAAAAAAAAGCAGTGAAGCCTTCTTTAGAGAGCTTTGGACTGAAATTCATTTGCTCTGCTCCACATAAGTAGTATCTTTTGAAGTTAACTGTTTTTATGAAAGTTAGTGCCATTACCAATCACCTTCATGATAGAGGTCAGAATAGAAAATTTTAAGAAATCTCTGAAACATAGAATTTCTGATGTTAAAAAATTTATTAAAATAGAAAATTCATCTCTGCTTTTTCACAAGCGTGAGCTAACTGAGGCACAATTTTCATGAAGATTATTTTGTTTACTTGATTTGATTTTATATAATCTAATATATGATACAAAATTTTGTATCATGTTAGCATGTTTGAGGCAGTTTATAATATATGTGGAGCCCTTATAGTTGATGGTGGGGTTATATCATAGTCTAATGGGCAATCTATTGTCAGGGTTACTATAATAGATACCGAGAGTCAGAGATCCATAAAATTGCATGACTCTTTCAGTTATTATACCACTGTGGAAACATAAAGTTACTCAACTTTGGGGGAGGGCGGTTAAGGTCCTTCCTTTATTCAAGAATAGTTATGGAACTTACATTATAAATATTTTCAGTATGAGAAATGAAATTAGTATATGCAAAGCATTCTATACTGTCTTTCATATTAGATAGTACCAACAAATAGTAAAGGCTGAGTTTGCATATAAGACAATTGTGACTGACTTAGGGCAGCTAGATTTTCAACAGTATTTTATTGGAATGTGCTTGAGTCAGAAAATCTCTTCAAACAGAACCTACTTAACCAGAAGCATCATGCATGGTCCCTTACGTATCTTTTATCACATATTTTATTCATCTACTTATGATATTTTCCTCAGTAATTGACAAATAGTTTTTCAAATATATTTGTAAAGCATTAATAAATTGTATTTCATATATTATGTTTTTTTTCATAAATATATATCTCTACCATTTATACAACTGTTTTATTATCATTGATTTTGTCCTAGTGTCAGAGTGCATTCTAGTCCTTCAGGGAGATATATCTAGACTTGAATGTAGAGTTGGGGTAAACATGGATTTGATCACTTTAATGGGAAAAATTATCAAATAGGCTTCATAAAAAGGTGTAAAGGTCAATTTCAGAAGGATCAAAGAACAGAATTCACAATCTAGTCAGATCAAGAGTTTGAAAGATAAGACCCCTCCCTCCTGAGTCTGTGAATGCCATAAAATATGGCACTACCATGACAATATTTAGAGAAGTTATTAAACATATAATTGATTTGGATAAAAACTGAACCATATTTTTCTCTTTTCTTTGTGCTTTAAAAGTGGAGACATTCAGTTCTTTAACATCTCCAGAAATCTGTATCAAGCCACATCATGTTGAACAACCTTCTGCTGTGGTCTCTTCAGATAAGTCTCCTAGGAACCAGTCTTGGTGGGAACATCCTTATTTGGCCAATGGAAGGCAGTCACTGGCTAAATATTAAGATAATAATAGACGAGCTCATTAAGAAAGAACACAACGTGACTGTCCTAATGTCCTCTGGTGCACTTTTCATCACACCCACAATTAGTCCATCTCTCGCTTTTGAAATATATCAAGTGCCCTTTGGCAAAGAAAGAATAGAAGGTGTGATCAAGGATTTTGTTTTGACATGGCTGGAAAACAGGCCATCTCCTTCAACCATTTGGAAATTCTATCAGGAGATGGCCAAAGTCATCAAGGACTTCCATATCGTGTCCAGAGAGATCTGTGATGGTGTTCTTAAAAATGAAAAGCTGATGGCAAAGCTAGAGAAAGGGAAGTTTGAAGTCCTGTTGTCAGATCCAGTATTTCCTTGTGGTGATATAGTAGCTTTAAAACTGGGAATTCCGTTTATATATTCCTTGAGATTTTCTCCTGCATCAACAGTGGAGAAGCACTGTGGGAAGGTTCCATTCCCTCCTTCCTATGTTCCTGCAATTTTATCAGAACTCACAGACCAGATGTCTTTCACTGACAGAGTGAGAAATTTCATCTCCTACCATCTTCAGGACTACATGTTTGAAACTCTCTGGAAGTCATGGGATTCCTACTATAGTAAAGCTTTAGGTATGTAGCCACTTTTGTTTATTATTTGACTCAGAATAAACAAAGCTCTTACTCAATTCCTCTTTAATTCCTTCAGTCTTTAATTTCAAGTTCACCTACTGGCATGCTAGTACCATAACATGTTAGAAGAAAAACGTATTTTAAACTAACACTAGTCTGCAGAATTACAGGGGACTGCTTTCTAATTTTATGGACTTAAGAGTTTCATTTTTTACAAATACTTTCATTTATAAACAAGGTTTGACTTTGTTTAAATTTTACATGGGAATGAAATTGCCTAGAAACTGCAGTTTTGTATAGATAAAGTCAGAAGAGAAGTAATTATCTACAAGCCCATTGTTAGTATAGATCATTGTCTTTAAGAATTCCCATAATACATATGGTCTCTGACCACTGCTTAATAAAGACTGAGATAAAAATCAGAAGAAACCAGGAGTCTTTATTTGTAAGCAATTAGTTAAAATGAAAACATAAACACTATTCAATGTGTCCTTTCTTAGTTAAACTTACTTGAATTCATTCAGTGCAATACGGGTTTTATTTGGTGAGTAGAATATAATAACTGACACTAAACACCCAATTTGTATTAGCTTATTAGGTACAAATTAAAGTTGATGGACTTTTGGTGAAGATTGTTAAAAGAGATTAAAATAATTTCAATATTTCTGATTTCAGTAATTTATAAATTGAATGGTTAACTAAGGTAGTGATTACAGAAGAAAGAAAAGTTGGCAGTGTGAGTAATGAATTTAATTTCGTACATACTGTATTTGGGGAAAGATCTGGTAAGGTCCAATAATTCATGAGTCAAATTGGATGCTATTTCAGAGGAAAGGCAATGGATTAGAAGAAACAGTGCCATCCATATGAAGAAAGCATATGTGTAATTTTCTTGACTCTTATGTTTCCGTGTTTCTTCTTTCCTATCACGTGCAAATTGCTTGCAAATTTTCTTTGTCATACATAACATATTCCTGAATCTGGCAATAATCAAATGGTTTAAAGAAAAGCAATGGATTTACATGGTGCAAACATCTTTTCAGGTACCCCAAATGCATTCACAATATATAGTCACCTACATACATTTTATAGGGTGCCTGATGCTACACACCAATATCTTATTTTGTTGTCATGAAAAACTCACAAGGCAGACTGAATTCCAATATAAACAGATAAAAAATGCATGCTTCTAACTTTTTATAAGATGTATGTCTTATTACTAAGTTTTGAGATCTACCTTCTCCTTTTGAACACCCAAACTGATACTGTTCTTTCACTCGTTTTAATAAATAGTAAAGGAGAGATTCAAAGGCAGTTCAAATCATTGAACATCATTGTGCAAAATCTCATGAGAAGTTGCAGTGTGTTCTGCTCAGCAGAGCCTGAGGGTCATAGAAACATTTACCAGCTAATGAATGAAAATATTAAATGACATGGTTACATCATTTAAAGATAACCAAATGGTTTATATGAATTTCAGAAAGAAAATTAGAGATGTCTATGTTGTGATAGCTGTTGACATCCTGACTTCTTTTGAGCTTCCATTCCAAAATAATTATAAAACTTACCTCTATAAGTGAAAACAAACATGGACAGATGAATATTGAATGCAAGTGGAAGGTACTAAAGATGTGCACATCTGACCAAAAACTGGGGCACCAGTTTTAACTAACACTGTTTTTCTGTATTAACTAAACTATCATCTTCTCTGAGTATCTTAACCATTTGTTCCACAGTTCAAAGCAGATGTCATTTCTAGCACATCAAAGATGATCCAGTCTTTTTGTCCTTCAGAGAAAACAAGCGTAACTCCAATGATTATATTGGAAACCAAGAGGATAAAGAGAATGGGCTACATTGCACAACTAAAATAGGTTCTAATTAAAGATGAAAAGAGGTGAAGAACTACAGAGACTTCATGAAACAAGCTGTACAGTTGGTGAAAGCTCTTTTATGTCTTCATGCCTGTGGTAAACCAACAAGATCTGAATGTGTGCAGCGTCTAAGTTATTGCAAAAGCCAAATGAGCATTGAACATTACTGGGTCTCTTTGGATTGTTCCATCTTTACAGCATCATTTCTATTGCCAACAACCTATCCTCAACTTTATAATCAAGATTCTCATGATTACAATGTTACTTATTTAGACTTGTGAGATTATTAATTAATTTTCCCTAGACCGTAGTCTCAGAATCACGTGTCCTATTATATTTTGCTTGTAAGTTAAGGCTGGTTATAAAATCACATTACTCAAGGTTCAGGGCAGGAGAGACTAATCTTTCTTAACAATTTGTTCATGGGAACTTACTGAAGATTTATGCAGATGTTCTTACATGTGATCCTGTTTAACTAAATACAGCAATCTGGTGATAGAAAGGATGTGAGCATTCTTTTCAAAAGATCAGGTAAGAAATTAAAATACATGCTCAGTATTCATTTAGTGCATTATAAATGTAGAATAATAATGAGAATGATATAGGCAATGATCCTGTAAACATTTCCTTCCAAATCATGTGACTTCATCATCTTTTCTTTACTGCTCTAATCGTCTCTGTAATAAATCCAGGTCTACTTATGTCTCATATATACACAGCTGAGTAAATAGACCAATTTCACAAAGATTTCTTCTCTGTGGAAGAATGTAATAAGAACCTCAGAGTGAGTCTTTAATCTTCGATAATTGGTAGTAATTGGATATTATAATGTCCAAATTATTTATTTTGTCTCAAGTCATGAGTATTTTACTGAAACACATAGTTAGGTGCTGTTATAATAGTTGGCAACAACTAAGGTCTCCTGCTTTTAGGCACTGTGAAAATAGCTTCACATATTTTGTCATATAATTTTTGTAACTAATTGGCTATACTTCATTGCAAGAAAAATTATTATTACAGGTGAAAGTATTGATTTTTCAAAACATCAAGGAAATTAAAATAAAATCATATGCTACTTGCTTAAAGAAAAATATTTAAGTTAAAGTATTCTGTGCCTTCCTACTTGTGGATATTTTATCACCCCAACTGAAATTACAGATGAGAATTTATCAATTATTTATCATAGTTTCATTTAGACATTCTTGAATCCTTTATTCCTTTCAATCTATTTATTTTTGAGATTTTCCATTCTATCTTATGTATACTCTTATTTGACACATGGGTTTTTAATGGGCCAGGTTTTCATGATATCATTTAGTATTCCTTAAGGAATAACTCTCCCTAGGTCTCTGATGTCTGAGCTGTGTTGCCTGGGAATATTCTGTCTCTAAGAGACCTATACCAGCAGTCTATAGCTAAAAATAAGAAGAGGGTTTGCAGATTTCAATTGTTTGTTTAAGATTAAAACAGGTAAATTTTATTTTTATTTTCATAATAGTGACTAAGACACCACCAAAAATGCATGTAATTTTCAGGAGAGAGTAATATAAAAATTGAATGGCAGTATAATATTTAAAATCCATGATGTATTGCTATTTGTGAAGTTATATACTCTGACCACCACAAAACAAGCAAGGTATTTAAATGAATATCCTTTGCTTATTTAGAGTCATATATGATATATAATTATATAATATAGCATTACATATGAAAATTAAATGAATACTCTTTAAAAGTTAATATCATTTGTTACAATGATAAACTATTTTTGATGTGAAGATTGCATTCACATACTCATATGAACTAGGTACTCACAGAACCTAAATTATTAGTGTGAAATAAAGTATTAGAAATTAGTGTATAATTGTAAGTTGCTGAGCATCATTTTTACTCTTAATTCAGTCAGATTTGGCATGAGTTATTTTCTTTCCATTTATTTAACTCCCTAAGATAATGCCTACATAAATCTATAAATATGTTATTTGTATATATACTTTACTTTGAATTTAAAATTATGAAAAATTTCAGTCCACATGATAAAGAAGTAATACAGAAAACACCTAACAAAATCTCATGAGGTTAAATACTTCCATACAAGTATAATTTCAAAGCAAAGAAATGTGTGCATCACTGTTAAGTGACTAGACCACTTAGTTACCACAAAATAATAAAGTTGTTTCATTGTCCAGCAGGGACCACTTAGAAATAGCACATTGACTCTGAAAATTTCTTTTTAAAATTCTATGTAAATTAAGGGTGTTGGCACTGACTTTTTTTTGAGATTTTTAGCTGTATTTTGAGTACTATTGGTATTGATTAATACTTATATTTTATATACATAGATCTCAATAGTTGGACAAATCTCACTGTCTTAAAGACTTTTTTTTAACTTTTATCTGTGAGATACTTAAATTTATGTAGACTTTAATGGAAGGTTTTGATAGCAGCATATATCTTTATGAAAATGTTTTTCAAGATTCCATGAACTAAGGTTATTTAATGACCATCAAGATGAGACTGTCCATACTATCCTCCAGCTCCTTTGTTTGAGAATTGAATTGAATGTAAAGGCACAATAGCCATCTTTAAATTGAAGCTGGCTCCTCAGAGGTTATAAAGATAACATTTCTAAAAGTGCCATTTTTTTTCCTCTACTTTTCCTTTCTCTCTGTTCCTGGTTCTTTCATTACTGAGGGAACTAGAATTATAGAAGTCAAGAAAATTTGACTATGAAGTGAAAGTTTGGTGCTTAATTTCTGTTCTTCAGTTTCTTTTTTATCCTTTTAATCACCGTTTTTGTTCTTACTGCTCTTTTTAATGGCATCTTGAAGGTTTTAACATGCCATCATTTTGTAAATGTTTTTGCTCAATTGAGATTCACTTAAAATTGCAAGTGTGACCCCTCCGTAGATTTAGTAGGCTCTATCATCTTGAAGGTAGTTTTCATGAGTATATACACACCAGGCTTATAACCTCCTAGCTTCTTTTCTTTAGAGTAGAATGAGATTTCTTTTTCTACATGTACTATAATCATGTTTATGAACATAAAGTTTGACTACATAATTTTCCTTTATACTTGTGCATCATTTGACCTATGAATAAAGATAACTAGATGATCATATTCAATATTATTTTATTTGAAACAAAAGCTACCAAAATACATTGAATTTTCCTTTTCATTTTAAAAGAGCCACAGTAGAATGCTTTTCACAGTGGATATCATGATGATTAAGAAGCTTATTCAGCTGCTTGCTTTTCAATTGATTCTAACTGAAATTGTTCTCAGTGGGAATGTGCTAATCTGGCCTACATATGGTAGCCACTGGTTAAATATTAAGATCCTTCTAGAAGAGTTGATACAAAGAAATCACAGTATGACTGTTCTGACCACATCAGAAATTCAGTTCAACTCCATTCCGGATCCTTTGGTGCATTTTGAAGAGATACCAGTTTCCTACACGAGAAACGACATAGATGAAATACTTGAACATATAATAACGCTGTGGCTGGACCACAGACCAACTCCTCTCACAATGTGGACTTTCTACAAAGACCTGGGAAAGCTCCTCGATACTATTTTTCGAGTTAATATACAAATCTGTGATGGTGTATTAAACAACCCCACACTCATGTCAAGACTTAAGAAAGGTGGCTTCAATGTGTTCATAATTGATCCAACCGTGATTTGTGGAGACCTGGTTGCTCTGAAATTAGGAATTTCTTTTGTGTATACACTGCGCTTCTCTCCAGCCTTTACAGTGGAGAGACACTGTGGGAAAATCCCAGCACCATTCTCCTACGTACCTGCAGCCTTGTCAGAGCTCACTGACCAGATGACCTTTGGTGAAAGGGTTAAAAACGCCTTATCGTATCCTCTGCAAGACTATATATTTCAGTCCTATTGGGGAGAATGGAATTCATACTACAGCAAAGTTCTGGGTGAGTCTAAGAAACATTCTCCTATTAGGGACATCAGATGTCTTTATTCCTCATCGTTGAGCAGATATTTTCCATCCCACTGCATATGCCACACCGAGGCACAGTACTTTGTATAGTTGCGCAATACTTTGATTACTGCTTTAGTTCAAGAAAATTCTTCAAAAATGATGGGCAGTATTAATTTGATTGCATTATCTTTGAATGGAAAGAATACTGTATATATCTAATTAATAGCTTTTCTATTTTAAAGTAAATTTTCAAATATAAATAAAATACCACTTTATAGGGTAAATAATGAGCCAAATATAGCCAAGCAAACACAATGGAAAATATTCTGAGATGTTCCATAATTTAATCCCATCCTTTTTTCTTCAGCTTTGGGTTTGTTTTGTTTTGTCTTTGTTTTGGGACCATGTCTTCCTGTAGCCCCAGCTGCCATAGAACTCACCGTAAAGACTAGGCTGGCCTTCATTGCACAGAGATCTACCTGCCTCTGCCTCCTGAGGGCTGGACTCAAAGATGCGGACCCGCAAGCTTGGCCTCTTCAATCTTGTTTATCTGCAAAACACAGGAAGAACACTTAAAAAGCAGGAGAGCTTTGGCAAACCTGTATTTGTACCCCACTCTGCTGCTTTTTATGTGTCCCAGGCATCCTAGGAGGGCTAGTGCTCATCATGATGCCTCTGTATCCTTTGCATTTCTAAAGTCACCCTGTCTTAAAAGTTCCTTGTGAGAATCAACCAAATAAAATAATGCTAACTATAAAGCCAGTTCTAGATGGTTGTTTATGTTATTTCTCTCTCTGGCTCTCAGGAGACTTCCTTATTTTTATTTTTTTTTTCTGTCATGCATGACCTTCCTCCAGCTCTGCTAGTACTCAGGGTATTAATTAGTACCACACATTAACATGGATACTATCAGTGGTACTTGCTTACAGAAGTTAGGAGCAAAATATTCCCTCTTACACAGCTTTTCCCTTCCTTCCTTACCTCCTGCCTTTTCTTTCTTTCTTCCTTCCTGTTTTATTAGTGTAAAATACATTTACTGAACATTAAATCTGTGCTTGCCAATTTCTAGGTAACAGAAATGCAATGATCAAATCAGACAGAAAGCACACCCTTAGAATTTGCATTCTAATAAGTGGAAACACATAAGAGGTAAAATAAATATAGAAAATATATAGGATGTCAGACTGTGATATATACCTTGAAATAAAAAAGGAAAGGAAATTTACAGGAGTGAGGTTGTATTTCTACAAAGAAGGACCATTAAATTTCTCAAATAAAAGGAGACTTGAGGCCATGAGTACATTTTTTTTTTTTAAGCAAAAAATATTTCAGGCTTAAAAAAAAAGTGATTAGCCATGGAATATCATAGGTCCTAGGACAATGCAAGACTAATTTGACTTTAATCTTGTCTATCACAAGTAAGATTTGAATATGGTTTGCTTCTCTTCATGTTGAATGTTATTTATTCAAATTTCCATCAGTAAAATTTTTAAGTTTTTTCACAGGACATGAAGGTATGTTAATTAGAAATTGGTGAGTAAAATGACCCAATTTTATATTCTGTATAATATAATTTAGATTTGTTTTGAAAGGGATTTCAAATTGCCTACAACTCAAAGATACATTTTGATTTAAATTTAGATGTTGTTCATTTGATTATTTGTGACATATTTGAAATATGTTGTATAGTAATCGTCAGTGCTCATGTGCACATTGAACACTGACCACTGCAGGTATTAAGTGAGATGACTGTGACTGTGTTCTTTCCTCAAGCTAGGAGATTACAAAGTATGATGGTGAAGGTTCTGGAAAATACATGAGGTTCTGAGTCGATGCCTCTTTCTCACTCTGGTATCAGGCAACTGATTCAATTAAATTGAGTCAGTCACAGTGCTTTGTTCTCCATAAGAAGGACTTAATTTCACTGGACTCTAGAAGGATCTATCTATGAATATGTCATGTCATTCGTAAAAGTTATGTTATAAAAGGTTTACACCAAACTCTTCCATGATAAAGACCTAATTATATTCCATTTGGTCTATGCATAGAACATAGCCAAAAAATATCTGTAAAAGAGGGCCTATGGTAAAAGAGCTCAGTTGCTTTTCAAGCATCAGGACTTGAGTTCCATCTCTAGAACCCACAATAAAAGAAAAAAACTGGTATGGTTGTGCATACTTGTAATCCCAGTGCTGGGAGGCAGCAGAGACAAGCAGATCCCTTGGGATCCTTGGTCAGCTGGCTTAGCCTATTTGGCAAGTTCCAGGCCAGTGAGAGATCCTGATGTAACACAAAACACAGATGAGTGGATATCACCTGAGGTTAACCTCTGACTCACACACACACACACACACACACACACACACACACTCATGCACTTATAGACATACACATGTGCACACACAAATTAAAAAATAAGTGGCCTCTGGTATGCAGTAAAACCTTTGATAATCAAAGAATCCCAATGTCTTATATTTACAGGATAGTGATTTAGAATTAGAATCTTATCTTTTCAGAAAATAAGAATTATATTTACTTAAATCCTCTGTGCTCCTGTTACAAAATATTCTGCTTTTTTCATTTACGTGTGTGTGTGTGCACATGTGTGCACGCGTGGTGTGTGTGTGTGTGTGTGTGTGTGTGTGTGTGTGTGTTTGTGTGTTCCCATGTACCACAGAGGTCAGAGGAAAACTTGCAGGAGTAGCTTCTCTCCTTCCATCATATGATTCCCAGGGACTGAACTCAGATTGTCATGACTGGCAACAGGCTCCTTATCCAATTAACTGTCTTGCAGGCACACTAAACGTCTCCAAGAAACCCAAATATTTTAAGTAGGAGTACATTGCCCAGAACTAGTAAAAACCTAATGTCTTCTTTTTGAGTTACATAGTTTTTAAAGCATTCATGATACCCAGTGTCTGTGAACTGATACTGAAGAAAGAAGAGCCCCATTATTTTTACATATTATGCTTGAACATAAGAGATTTCAAAATGTACCAGTTTCCTGCAGAGTTTCCATTACAATATTATTCTTCAGTTCTTTGTGAGAAAAACAGAGTAGAAAAATGATATGTTGTACTATGGTTCAGGAAAACCACACATCTTGAAGGAAATAAAGGTGAGTACACGAATGTATCCAGCTACACCCCACCAAAAGCCTTCCTGTTCTATCAGCAGGAGCATAAATTTTATGGATGTAGGAATAATCATTGTTTTACTTCTGGTACCTAATCGAACAGGAATACCAGGCCTATGACAGTCATTAACACTCATACCCAGGAGTGCATTTAGCAAGTATTCTGAGTGCCACTTACTTCCATACCTTGTCTTGCCTTGTGACTGTTTTCTCACTCTTAGAAAGGTTCTCACCTATATAGGTTTGACCTGTCTGGAGCTCACTGTATAGACCATGACATTTACAAATTATCTGGGCTCCTGTCTCTGCCTCCCTAATGCTAGGGTTGCAGGCATGCACCAACATACTTGGCCTGTGATATATTAATACTATACAACTATTGGATCTTTTGCTTTTAACAATGTTGTTAAGTACTAATTTGGATGTAAAATAACTAAACTATGTTTTATAATTGGAGATAAAATTATAAAATTAGTTAATAATACTGTAAGTATATGACACTTGTATCCTAGGGGATAAAATTAGTCCAGATTGCAAACTTTTAGTTCTCTGCGTCATATAAGCATTCATAAGCACAAATAAATATATAATACATAAACAGATTATGTTTCTTAAAATTAAAAATTCTTTAGTGTCTGAGACAGAAAAATGTTTAAAGGATTTCAAAGAATGTAATATTTTTATTTGGAGAATTGTGCCCAAATTTCATCTACTAACTAACTATATTATCTCAGGCAAAAATTTTCACTTCACTTCTGGAAATTAAACTCAGCAAAGCACCTCCTTGCAATGAAAATTTCTAAATAATTCATAACAATCTTCATTATATTCTTTAAGAATATAATATTAAAAGAACTAGTAAAACCCACTCAATATTTTTTAAAATACGTTTATTTATACTTACACCATAAATAGAAATTAGTGGCTAAACCCCAAATTGGAACAGACCAGGATTCAATTTTTTAAAAATTCATATTTCTAGGTAGAGATTTTTTTTCTTTTTTTAAAAACATTTTATTATTTTTATATTTTTGTGTTTATGCGTGTATTGCCTGCATGTTAGTAAGTGCACCTGTGTCATGTAATGCCCGCGGAGGACAGAAGAGGCTGTTGGATCCCCTGGAATGGGAGTTATGGACAGTTGTTAGCTACCATGTGGGTCATGGGGTTTGAACCTGGGTCTTCTGCAAGAACATTCAGTGTTCTTAACCACTGAACCATCCCTTCAGCCCCTTGTAGAGATTTACTTACAGTGGTTTTCATTAAGATTTCAGTGCTGTAAACAGGTTGGAAATAAAGCTGGGAAGTTGAACAGTTGTACAGAAAAGTGCTTAATGTCAGGGTGGGTGTGGTGGTGCACACCTTTAACCAAGCACTCAGGAAGCAGAGGCACGTGGGTCTGTGAGTTTGAGGCCAGCCTAATCTAAATAGTAAGTCATACCAGCTGGGAATACAGGGAGACCCTGTTTCCAAAAACAAAAGAAACAAACAAACGAAAACATGAGCTGAATGCGTATATGTGGGTGAACTTGGTAAACTGTAAGCATAGAGGAAATATTCTTTTAAATTGATTGATCTTATATGTTATATGAAATATAGACAAAATATCTTGACTTTTAGGTAATACTTAACAAAACAGAACAAAACAACAGCAAATTCTTTTAATTTTTAAATGTTATGTTATTACACTAGGACGACATGGTCCTAATATGTAGCCGTGTTAGTTGATGGTATCTAGCTTTTACCTGCTTTTCTCCAGGGAAAGGCAGATGCCTATCCCTCTTTACTCCTCTTTTACATACATTTTTGTGTTTAAATATCTGCTTTGCCTTTGTCTCTACTGCCTCCTGCTGGTT